GTTCTGTTATTTGATTTGTTGGGCCTGTCTTGTAGGAGGAGACTTCTGGGTACTCGTCTGGCTCTGTCAATCTGTTTTTTCACTTCAACAGGTGGGTATTGTAGTTTTAAGAATGCTTGATAGAGATCTTGTAGGTGCTTGTCTGTATCTGAGGGATTGGAGCAAATGCGGTTGTATCTTAGAGCTTGGCTGTAGACAATGGAACATGTGGTGTGTCCTGGATGGAAGTTCCAGCTTCTATCTACAGCCAAGCTCTAAGATAAAACTACGATACCCACCTGCTGAAGTGGGTACAAGTACTCCTGTTCTTTATTCTGGTTAGTGTGTGTTCAGATTGTTTTGTAGATATATAGGACCCCTGTCAAATCTGAAACTTTGTCTCCCTTTTATCCTGTCAGGGTCTTGGGAATGTTCACATTATCTCCTTCCAATATATATCAAGGTCTGTTATGGACTCACACTTATCTCAATAGCAGAAAATTTTGGTGATTTGCTTGTATCTCTGCACTTCGCTATGAATGGTGCCATTATCTCTTAACTCTGTGTTTTGCTAGCAGATCCTGCTGCGTTGATTAGTGAATGAATGTGGATATGTAGCAGAGGTGGATGAGACACTGATGTGTTGATTAGTGGGTGTGGATATGTAGCGGAGGTGGGTCAGAAACTGTTTTCACATCCCTCAAATATTTTCAAGTGTTCAATTTTATTTTTTTTCCTCTCTCAGCTCATGATGAAAAGTCAATCTCTAATTTTCACAGACCAAATTGTTTTCAGATCAGGTCAGTGTTTTGATAACTTTAAAACATTTCACTTTGATTTGACCATTTAAAACTTTTTGTTTTAGTTTAATTAGCTTAAATTTCTACAGGGAAAGTCATGTTGAATTGGAAAAACAAGAATTTTCATTTTGAAAGTGTCAAACAAATATTTTGTTAGTTTCTAAACTTTGAAATTTGTCAAATCCAAACCTGTTTTGTGAACAGTTTTTTTGGTTTTGATGAATTGGCATTTTCTGGTATTGAAAATTTCCCAACTAGCTCTGAGTACACATTTTGTAGAAAAGCTTCTATAGGAGATAAAGGTTTTGCAACAGATTTTGCATATAATCTGGTAGCAGCTTGTTATATGAATAAAGAATATTCTAAAAATACTTAATAGCAGCTGCTGTTTGTATTTAACTGGATATACATACTTTCTGACCCACCTTTCTGACTTGCATCAAGATTGTGTCATATAGAGTTCTGATGTTTGTGATGGTGCTCAAACTGGTTAATCTCTCCCTGCCACCTTATTAAGTGATTATGATATACTAAGGGTGAAATTCTATTTTATGTTTTTAGGATTGCCATGGAGAAGCTCCTATTCATAAGGCAGCTAAAGTTGGGAGCTTGGAGTGTCTTGCTCTACTCGTTGCCAGTGATGCCAGAATAGAGTAAGTCAAAAACTACATTTAACTAATTCAAATATTAGCCCTCAAAGAAGTTATTCATGTAACTTATTCTGCTATAATCTTAACATATATGAACATGAAATGTATGCTAATACAAAACTTTGTTTCCTGTTCAAACTATATTGTGGTAATTGGAATGCAATGTGTATATTTTTAATGTGTAAAAATATGGTGCAGCCATTACATGTATTTATCATGATCGTCCACGTACTGTACAACTATACCATTGTCTTTCACTTTTGGTTTAGAGAAAAACCTCTTTACCATAGCAGCTAAGAGGATCTTACTGGTCATAGCTCCCTGGTTGGAGGAGCTTTCCATTTCATCTATTGGTTATACTGTTCTTAAATCTTATACTTGAGACAATTTCTTTGGTCTTGATTTTTTTGGTAGCTTATTTCTCTGCTGCAAATATTTTTGCACTTGAAATAAAGATGTATTACTGAAGAATTACAATGACTGCCTCATCTTACATAGCGACGATTTGAAATTAGCTGTGTGTTAACTTTTGTGTTTCAGTTTGTGCAATAATGATGGACAAACAGCAGAAGATCTTGCATGGGCTTTTGGATTTCTGGAGTGTGCCAAGTTCCTCACAACTGTTAAACATACTCAAAATATGAGGCTAAGAGAACAATCTAGCTGCTCACTTAAAGACAATTGTGGTTTGCCAAGAGAGGCTTCAGCTGGACAGAAACGAGCATATGGAATTATGGGACCCACAAACAGAAAGAGGAAGAGATCAGATGGTATGTAGTTTGATAGTTTACAAATTAAACACTTAGTCAGGACTGGTTTAATACATATCAGAATATTTTTAAACCAAAATCTCAGACTGTCAGTAGATATGTTGTAGTGGTGGTGAGGCACGGCCCTTCAATGCATCCACATATACCCATGTGGTAAGGCTGCTATTCAGTCAAAATATTAATGTTGCATAGAAGAACATGCAGCCACGACACATGTGTGTTCCAATAAAGGGCCAAATTAATTTTGTGCATTGGGTCAGGGTGGATTGATTTAAATCAAAGCTATTTAAATCACTGATTTTAATCATTAGTAAATCAACATGAAGGTAAGCTTGAATTGAATAATAGCTTTTAATTATTTTTAAAGGTTTATTCTTATTGGTTGGTAACCCCTTAAAACATGTTGATTTGCAAGTAAATATAGTCTTTTTGTGAACCAGGAGAGTGTGCTATATTTATACATATTAATTTAAGCAAGCATAAACCTTAACTTCTTACTAGATTAATTTTTTCCTTGTGATTTGTGTCCATCTCTACTTGGATGGAAATTTCAAATTCAATTAAATGCACAAAACATTTTAAAAAATTTAAATACAACTACCTAGGTTTTAGGTAGAAAGAGAGAGGGATGCATTAAACAGCCATCCTATACTATAGCCAAGTGTTTTGATAAATCCAGATGTATACTTCTATTTTGTAAAGTAAGCTCTTTTGTTTGAACAGATATCACATCTTAGACTGCAAGTGGGAAAATCCGTAACCCTGTGAAGAATCTGAAATCTGCAAAAAACACCATTATTGGTCTATGAACTAAGCAGCCCAATATTTGATTGTTCTGCTGTTTCCTTCTGAGGAGGAGGAAATCTTGGTTACTTTTGCTTCTTGAAGAAGACATTTTTCTAGAATACTTGTATTCACACGTGTGTGTGTGTGTGTGTGTGTGTGTTCAATTGTAGACTATGTATAATAGGGCAGTCTCTTCTCTGGTAAATAGCAAAACAAAGTTGATACTTAGCACAGAGAGAAACACTGTATGTGCTATAGGAGATTAACATTTTGATTAAGCGGCATTCCCTGCCTATCACGTTGTTGTGTGATATTACTGGCTATCAAACAGTTACTACACTTCACTACAGAGAGGGGTCTATTGGTGCCCTAAGGATAGTTTAGGGTCAGTTTAAAGTCACATTTAATTCTGCACATCTTACTAATGAGCCGTCTTTGCTTTTATGAGCAAGAGCTGCTTACATGAGTAAACATTAAAGGACCAGCCCCTAAATTTGTAAAGCACTTCAGGAGCCTTCAGAAAGCAAGAGACATTACAAATATTAGATTATCTTAATTTTGGCAATTGAGATAAAGGTAAACTCCTTTAATTAAACTTGTCTATACAAGAATGCAGTTGAATCTGATTTATTCTTCCATTTTTGATGTTTTTTATTTAAAAAGACATTTTATACTTAAATTGCTGTGTAAAGAATTCAACTAGCATTTTTATTTCAACTTTTGACTGACAAAATACCATTTAAATTGAAAATAAGTAAGTTTTCTAAAGCTTATGCGTTTTATTTAAAATAAGCCAGCTCTGTCTATATCAAGTCTTAAATTCTGGATTAACATGATTTTTTGCAATTGGAATTTAAATAGTTTTTGGTCGCTGAGGTAGGCAGAGGTTGTAATAAGCATCCTTGCTCCAAAAGTCTGGGCCCTTCCATCCACACCAACCCTGTACAGGAAAAATCAAAATAAAGCCATTTCTAAAACAGTTGTGCATAGCGGATTTGGTCCATGAGTACTGTCATACCTGTCACAGTTCTTGTAGTTTTCATAATTCAGTATATGCATAAATGGAACAGGCTCCATTTTTTGACACAAACAGCTAGAAATTATGATGCTGTTAAAATTGAAGTCTAATAGCAACATTATCTTCTGCCTTATGTTTTGGTGTATTTTTATTCTTAATCACATCACACTATTTTTATAATTGAAAATAACTGAAGTCTAATTTTTACAAAATAGTGCATATACTTAAGGTGTGTTCTTGGAACTTTACAGCGTCCCAATTTAGAGCCCACTTCTGCAAACATTTATGCATGTGCTTATATTTATCACATTAATAGTTTTATTCAAATCAGTGAGACTGCTCAGGTGCTTAAAGTTGAGTGCATTTGTAAATTTCTTCACATACTCTTAACTTGTTAATTTCTGAAGTTTCAGTTAACTGTGGAGTTCTATTGATATGACTAGACCAGTCTCAGGACTTGAAAAATTACCAGAAACCTACCATACTAATCCAAGGCAGCTGCAAAAGTAAAGGGGGCTCCTAGAATAGTTCAAGGACAGTATCCAACCTCAGCTACTGGGAAGGGAGAGCATGCTGGATGGAATTCATACTAAAGTGCTTTCCCACCATTCAAAAATCAGCCCCAGTTTAGTAGACGTGGTAAATCTGAAGCTGCCTTTCTCCTGCCTGGCTGTTAAGAAGGAGCCCTCTCTTACCATAGCAGCAGTAGGCTCTGAGATTGGGATCTGGTATTCTGCAACTGTGCCATTCCTAGAGCCTCACAATTTTTTATTATAAGATATTCCTCCTCTCTGAATAGTTCAAATTTCTACCCCTCCTGCTGCTGAGTTTCCTGGAGCAGCTGGCAGAATGAAACTGATACAATTCGCTGCCCTCAATTTCATATCTGCCTATAAGATAAATAGAACCTGATGAACCTTATTAATTACACTCTGCTACTACTTGGCTTTACTATGAGCAACAGCAGAGGAACTGGAGCCATCTATCTGCAGATTCAGGAAGATGGAATTGCATGGTTTATCTTCCAAACTATAAAGACTAGACACTGAGCCCAAATTTGCATGTATTTCTTTTAAAGGGATCCTGATAGCTTTTGTCTATATCAGTACAAAAGCTATTTAGCTAATTTCATGGAAACTCTCTCTAAAATTTTATTAACATATATAACCAGATATAAATGACTCTGTACTAGACACAAGGTGTGGCATCAGGGATATTCAGTCCCGAGGGAAGTAAAGAGCATTCCTTCTTACTGTAAAGAAAGAAAAAAAAAAACTACGTTCTCTCAGACACTGCACCTCTTCAGTCATTAAGCTCCACAGGCCAGATGTAAGGGTATGCTGTACTGGTACATTCACCTGGGCTGTGGGCTGGCCACCATGTGGGATCAGCATTTTCCTTTCAGTGATAGTGTCCTCCTTCAGTCCAGGGACTGAGCAACCTCAGTAGGGCTGAAATATATATTAAACTGACCCTAACCCCTAAGGGGCTGAAAGAAGTTTGCTTACATGCGAGAGAGAGAGTGTGAGTGAGTGTGTGTAGTAGATATAAATAAATCTACATGTTTGTAAAAAAGATTACTTTTAAGAGAAATTAAAATTATGCAAGTAAAAAATAATTCCAATGCTATCGCTCCAACACTGGTCATGCCATATAACCATTTATTAATGTCGTAAGTAGAAACTAAATGAAGTTAAAATCTCACCTTTTCCAAGATAACATGCAGATCTTCTGCACCAGTGTAATGTGGGTCTAGAATCAGAAATTTAATGTGTCCTGTAATCTCATTCCATGCCACTCCTAGTATTGTGTGAGCCAGAACGCCTCCACCTGGATTGGAGAAAATATATGCCCTTTCTAAGATTTTGTACAGTTTGACAGACTTATTTTTTTTTTCACCCATACATTTGTCAATACTTTCTATTAGCTGCCAGATCTATGAGTGAAGTTTCATTCTCTAGGCTATAAAAAATAGTAGGGTAACTGCATCGTGTAAGATCCTTCATGGAATAGGATAGCCAAAATAAGGACAAAGTTGTAAAACCAGAGTAGTTATTACCACAAAGAAATAATTTTACTTAACCATTTGATCTCTGTCTCTCTCCCAATTCAGCAGTGAGAATTATGATTCCACACCACCAGCTGAAATCATGAACATTTTGAATACACCAGTTATGCCCAGTCTATATAGAAATGGTCAGTTCTAGAAGACCTCAGTCTAAGAAACTTCCCAAAAATAAAAAGACTAAATCAAAAAAATATAATAATTGGTAATTTGTGAGCAATAAATCAAAAGAGGAGAAAAAGAAGGGATACGGTATGTATAACCAGAGCACAACGGTGTTTAGTTACTAGATACCAAAGTTAACATACACAAGTCTAAAATGTTAAAACTATGAGGATTAGGTGTAAAAGCCCATAAAGGTAAATACCACTTGTCTGTTTCTCACCTCTCCAACACAGTTAGGCTACAAGCTGGGTGACTAGACTGAGTTAAGTAGGGACTAGAAGAAACTAAATAATATGTAAGTATTTCCTTTCTCCTACACGACCCTGGTCATTCTGGACATTAAGAATTTCAAAAGCAGTATTCAAAATCAAATACATTAGAGTGAGTACTGAGAACCACTTGCCATGGTAACCCTTGAAAAATCTTCCTGATTGCAGCATACCTCCTCCAAAGATGGTATCTGTAAATGCCTCAAGATTTCCCTATAATAGCAAGAAAGGATTTTTAAGTTGCCTTGTATAATCTCAATGGGGAGGCACCTCCCTATCTGGCCAAAGCTACATGATCCAGCACACTGCCAGAATGGTCCAAGACACCTGGTGGAGGGGCACCCTTTTAGCTTGGTAGCTTTCCTTAATTACTTCTCTCAACAATCATGCCACAGAAGCTTTGGAAGCCATGAGCATCTTTTCTTAGTATCTCCATACAGGATGAAAATCACTAGACAGATGTAGTTTAGAGGAGGTAATAAGTTTCAGAACCCATCTACCCATCACTGTTTCCATAGGTTCTCTGAGGACTTGGGAAGGAGCTGAATTTCTGAGTCAGGATGTCTGCTGTTTCCCACTCACTAGCTCAATGAAGATTAGGTGCAGGAAGAATGGTTTCTGGCTTTTCTTACTCCAACTTGCAACAATGGGAGGGGACCTCTTGCTGAGTTGGCCCTCAGCTCTACATGCAACTGGTTGCCTTGAGAGGACCTGAGAGTCCACTTCCATAGAATACTGCTCTGATGGTTCAGTGTGGTGGGACCAAAGAAACTCCACAAAAGGGAGTATAAAGGAGGAGAAGCCCCACAAGAAAGGGTGGGGATATCAGTATGGGGGAGGGGAAATGATAGAACTTTCAAATTTTATTTAGGGTCCTTGAAAGCCTGCAGTTAAGGCAGATGGGGCCTTTGGTGCTTCCACTAACAAGGCCAAGCACAGTGCACATCCAGATGGAAATTCCTGGGGATTTCTGGAATTTAGCACAATAAAACTAATGCCCCAAAGGAGAATTAAAAATGATGGTGGGGGTTTTACAAGCAGAAATGAGGTTCCCTCAAAAGGGCTTACGCCAGGACAGGTAAAGCCACACTAGAATCAAAAGAAAATGTAGGCAGATGGGATATTAGTTTTCACAAGACGAATTGATATGGGTTGGGAGGTGCAGATTACAATGGGCCACATGCATTAAACCTATCTGAGATTCCTGAGGCTGGGGCCCTTGTGAAAAGCTCTCATACTGAAGCTTCTGAAGAAAAACACAGAGACCCAAGACTGAAGATTGTAAATTTATAGAGCAATTTCTACTTGCTGCTGATTAGTGGGTAGCACTTATGGATAGCTTTAGATGGAGTAGGGAAAGAAAGATTAAAATACCAAAGGAACTTCTTACTGACAAAGCACTACCATATTCTGTCAGGTCAGAAAAGGTGAGAAGAAGGTAAATGCCAAAAATCAAAGCAAAAAGAATAGTTAAAAAGCATATAAAGAAGTTTCTGCCTGCTAAGAAACGGGCAACTTTATCTGTCAGCCAGAACTGACCCTCTTCTAGGGAGTTGAGGCAATACATTTTGTTATAATTTTCTCTACCTCTATCTTATGGCAGGGTGGTCAATATTATCCAGAGTTCAGACAGATCTGGATGATATTATAAATCCTTGTCCATAAATATGTTAGGATGGGGAATATGATTACAATGAAAATAACAACAGAGGGTCCTGTGGCACCTTTGAGACTAACAGAAGTATTGGGAGCATAAGCTTTCGTGGGTAAGAACCTCAAAATAAGATATTTATATTAAGGCTGATTTAAAAAAATGTTTTTCTGTACTTTTTCAAAGCACCATTCCCCTTCAGGACAGTATCAGTAAAAATTCAAATGTTCTTAAAATCCAAATGTCCATACCCAGGTTACCAACATTTAAAATTATTAAAATATTTCATCTGGTTTTAGGAAAGAAATTTTTGCTAAGGAGTGAAAGCCAATAAAATGCTGCTCTTTAATGCTCAAGGGAGTTACTGCTGAGCAATACAAAATAATTCTCTAATAGTGTTGCTAGTGCGGGGAGCAGACTATTTTGTAAAATCAGTGTAGCTGGCCCATCAACCCTGGAATGAAAAGTTCAAAACCTATGTTAGTCTCTTGAATTTAGAGAACATCATTCAGACTGACCTCAGCAAGCCTGCTCTACACTAAGTTTGGGGACCTAGATCACCATGAAAAGACACCAGCCAAATCAGCTTTTTATGGTCCTTCATCTTAGAGCAGATAAAAGACAATACTAGGGTGCGTAGCTGAACTTCGTTAATCTTGCAATCTCCCTTACTGCAGAGCATGTGAGGGAGATTCCCACACCTGAGACATTCTTTTTAGGTGACAAATTGAGGAACAGTCCCAGATTGAGGTGTCGATAGAGGTTTCAGAACAAATTGATAAATTAAATAGTAATAAGTCACCAGGACCAGATGGTATTCACCCAAGAGTTCTGAAAAACTCAAATATGAAATAGCAAAACTACTAACTGTAGCACGTAACCCATTACATAAATCAGCTTCTTTACCAGATGACTGGAAGATAGCTAATGTGATGCCAACTTTTAAAAAAGGCTCCAGAGGCAATCCTGGCAATTACAGGCTGGTAAGCCTAACTTCAGTATCAGGCAAACTGATTGAAACTATAGTAAAGAAAAGAATTCTCAGACACATAGATGAACATGATTTGTTAGATAAGAGTCAACAGGGCTTTTGTAAAGGGAAATCATGCCTCACCAATCTATTAGAATTCTTGGAAGATGTCAGCAAGCATGTTGTCAAGGGTGATCCATTGAATGTACTGTACTTGGACTTTCAAAAAGCCTTTGTCAAAATCCTTCACCAAAGGCTCTTAAGCAAAGTAAGGAGTCATGGGATAAGAGGGAAGGTCCTCTAATGTATCAATAACTGGTTAAAAGACAGGAAACAAAAAAGGTAGGAATAATTGGTCAGTTTTCAGAATAGAGAGCGGTAAATAGTGGGGTCCTCCAGGGATCTGTACTGGGCCCAGTGCTATTCAACATATTCATAAATTATCTGGAAAAAGGGGTAAACACTGAGGTGGCAAAGTCTGCAGATGATACAAAATAAATCAAGACTATTAAGGCCACAGCTGGCTGTGAAGAGTTACAAAAGGATCTCACAAAACTGGATGAGAGGGCAACAAAATCACAGATGAAATTCAATGTTGAGAAATGAGAACTAATGCATATTGGAAAACATAATCCCAACTATACATTCAAAATGATGGGGTCTAAATTAGCGGTTACCACTTAAAAAGAGATCTTGGCGTCATTGTGGATACAGTAGTTCTCTGAAAACATCTGCTCAATGTGCAGTGGCAGTCAAAAAAGCTAACAATGTTAGGAACTAATAGGAAAGTGATAGAGAAGAAGACAGTAAATATAATGCCACTATATAAATCCAGGGTATAACCACACTTTGAATATTGGTCTCCCCATCTCAGAAAAGATATATTAGAAATGGAAAAGGTACAGAGATGGGCAACAAAAATGATTAAGGGTATGGAACAGCTTCCGAATAAGGAGAGATTAAAAAGATTGGGACTTTTCAGCTTGGAAAAGAGATGACTAAGAGGGGGTATGATAGAGGTCTATAAAATCATGAATAGTGTGGAGAAAGTACAGTAGAACCTCAGAGTTATGAACACCAGAGTTACGAACTGATTGGTCAGTCACACACACACCATTTGGAACCAGAAGCATGCAATCAGGCAGCAGCAAAGACAAAAATAAATAAATAAAGCAAATACAGTACAGTACTGTGTTAAACGTAAACTACTAAAAAAATAAAGGAAAATTAATAAGTTATTTAAAAAATTGACAAAGAAAGGAAACTGTCTTTGTGCTGGTTTCATTTAAATTAAGATGGTTAAAAGCACATTTTTCTTCTGCATAGTAAAATTTCAAAGCAGTATAAGTCAATGTTCAGTTGTAAACTTTTGAAAAAACTACTACAACATTTTATTCAGTTATGAACATTTCAGAGTGACGAACATCCTCCATTCCCAAGGTGTTCGTAACTCTGAGGGTCTACTGTAAATAAGTGTTATTTATCCCTTCACATAACACAAGAATCAGGGGTCATCTGATGAAATTAATAAACATCAGGTTTAAAACAAACAAAAGGAAGTACTTCTTTACACAATGTAATCAACCTTTGGAACTTATTGCCAGGGGATGTTGTGAAGGCCAAAAGTATAACTGGGTTAAAAAAAGAATTAGATAAGTTCACGGAGGATAGGTCCGTCAATGGCTAGGTATGCTATCCCATGACTGCCAAATGCTGAATCATGCAATAACTGCCCTGTTCTATTCATTCCCTTTGAAGCATCTGGCATTGATCACTGTTGGAAGACAGGATACTGGGCTAGATGGACCAATGGACCCAGTATGGCCATTTTTATGTTCGGGTTGTTCTGGATACCTAGAAGTTCATCTGTATACACTCACTAAAGTAGTGTATATGAAAATAAACCTTGACAGAAGTGACCAACAAACATTCTTTGGCATTTTTCAATAGTGAAAGGCTTACCAATCATAACTGGAGTTCCTTCAGTCTTGAAATGATTAGCAAGTTCTCTTCCCTGAGAAGCTAGCTCAGAACCCTGGCTGTATAAGAAACACAGCATTAGATTATCCTCTTTATTAGGTTTAATTTCCTAGTTATCTCTTTCACTATTTAGCCACATAAATTTGTAATTCCTATGCTATACAATGAGAATTAAAAAAAATATATTTTATTACATCCTCCCCTTCCCTCCCCGCACCCCCCCCAATAGCACTGTAGCAGGACCAGGAGTTTTAGAATATAGAAAAACCACACTGGAGTAAAACTTTACATTTCTGCTCACACAAGCTGGTGCAACTACCCAATATAATTTATAGAGAAGAGTATGATCAATTCTATCCAATTCAGACAGTGTCACTGAAAGATGCCTATTGGGAGCTGTGCTTCACAGTGAAAAGAAAGATACCATGACAACAGCTTCATGGTGGCTTCAAACTGGAGGTTTAAGGGAAAAGGTTTAAGAACTTCAACTAAACAGCTCCAGGGTTCTCTCAACCAGAGAGAAATCTACATTCTTATTTAATGGCAAAAAACGTTGTTAACAAGGAGTTAAAGTTGCCTGGTGGCTCTTGCCTGCTCCGGGGGTGGGGGGGGCAGAGTTAAGGCTTGGGCATTTACCATAACTCTGCATTCCCTGGTTTTTAGAAGTTTGAGTTTTGCTAAACTTGACGTTCTGGAAGAGCACAAGCTATCACTGGGCAAGCATAACTCTGTGTCAATGAAGTATTTGTCATTTAATCTCCTAAGTTTTTTAATTGAAAGAGAAATGTTTGTTGGTAGGAGTTAATGTTCATTTAGGCAATGATAGTTTTCACCTATGTTTGCAGTTGATGTGCTACTATGGCTAGTAATAATCAATATACCTAGCTTTTATACAGTGCTTTTCATCAGTAGATCACAAAGAACTTTACATCATTATCCCCATTTTTGAGATGGTAAACTGAGGCACAGAGTGGGGAACTGACTTGCCCAAAGTCAACCAATCCCATGGTCTTTGGGCCCCACAGATCCTGGCAAACGCATACAGATAGAGAGAGGCTCACACTCTGCCAAAAGAGGCAGCCCCAGATCCGGGCATACACATGGGAGGGAATGTGGAGCTGGCAGGATCCTCTGCAAGTCCCCCATCTCCCTTCCCAGTCTCCCACTCCTTCCCTCATGCTCTATTGCTCCCCCTCACCTGACCTCCAAACCCTCTCCTACCCGCACATCCTCAAGTACTCCCATCCCCATAATTGCCCCCTCCTTGCTGAACCCCAAACTCCTCTCCCCTGATTCTCACCTACTCTTCCACCCCAATCACCCTCCCTTACCAGTGAGCATTTGCATGTGTATTTATTTTCTTTTCAAAAATAGTTTCAGTTACTTTCTGAATATTCTGCAGTACGCAGATTATACTTCCCAAAACAAAAAACCTTTACCAGAGTCAGACTGGAGCAACATGCCTCCTTTTTATTTCAGATTTCTGCTTAGAGTAGACTTAAACTCACAGAGCCTTGGCAGTGCTCAGGTTCGGTGCCTGCAATATTCCTCCTCGAGCCACTCAGGCCTTACGAGGCATAGCTGACTTTCAACTCCCTTAGCTTATATCTCTATACACGTGCAGTGGAATCCATTTGGTCAGGGCCGGCCTTAGCAAGATCGGGGCCCGATTCCTGGCCCCCCGGCCCCCAGGAATCGGGCCCCGCTTGGGCTGGGGTTGCGGGGTTTGGGTCCGGGCTGGAGCCGCCGGGGCCGGGCCGGAGTTGCTCGGCCCGGGGCTGAGCCGGCGCGCTCGGCTGGGGACGCGGCCGGTGCCCCGGGGCCCGAGCCAGAGCCGCCGGGG